ATTAATGTGTAAATGAGTGGATGATGCCATCTTCAGCTTCATGTATTCACTTATTGAGTACTTGTTGTATACTAGGCACAAAATATTCTCGATGCTACGAGTACAATGCAGAACAATACAGCAATCATCCCTGATCCCATAGAACAATATTTATTAGAGAGAAAGACATTGAAGCGAATAAATACATAAATACGTGACTACAACTTGGGCTAGTTCATGAAAAATAACAACTGCTATGCTAGTCCCAGAAGGTGGGATAAGTTTAGATTGTGTGCTCTGGGAAAAACTTTGAGAACTAAAGGATGAGTAGGAATTTAACCAGATCAGAATCGGAGCATGGAGGAGTTGGAACTGAGAGCATTGTAAGTGGGGAAGTCAGAAGTTCTAAAGTTCTTGGGTTGAGAATTGGAGGCCTGGGAATGATTAGCTTTCTTGAGGTGCTGAAACAAGGCTATTGTGGCTGGAATACAGAGAGGGAGGAGCAGAGTTGCACAAGATGAAGTGGGGGAGTTGGCAGGGCTTCTGGACTTTGCAGATGTACAAATGGTGGAGGTTCTAAAATCCTTAAGTTGCATTATTCTTAATTTAGAAGAAAAAGGGAGATTGATTTGTGGCTTGGAAAGATGAAAAACTGTTGGTGGAATTAGGACATGACTGATTTTATCTATACCATATGGAAGTTGGTGTTGTGTTGTAGAAAGATTGTGGGCTCTTGAGCCAGAACTAAGTTGATCCCAGCTGGTTCTTAATGATGTGTGGCCTTTGATAAATTACTAAGCCTCTTGAGCCTTTATGCCTTCATTTTTAGGGTGGAGATAATGGAATCCCTTACTGTAAGAATGAAATTAAAGTATGTAAAGTACTAAGTAGAGGGCCTAGCTCATCACAGTGGTCAGTAAACATGCTGCTGTCACTACTGTTTATCTTCTTCCTCGAGGTAGAGGGAGGAACAACTATCATATTGTCTATAAAATATGATCTAAGCAAACCTGATGGACCCTTCTAAAGCATGCACAAACTGGCATGTCTGTACTGACTTTAGACTATTTCAAGTGCAGTATCCTTCAGTGAGATGGGGGAAATCTTTCTGTCCATTCCAGTGGTAGTTTGAAAAAGCAGATTTTTTTTCTTATTACAAACATGAACCAACTAAGCTGATTCATACTTTTGGAAAACTGTCTTTACATTTCAAAGAAAAGAAAGCTAAATTTATTAGGAAAAATTGTAATCTAGACATTCCTCATTTAAAAACCGAGTTCCGGGCAACCCACTTGGGACCCCTCCTAACAGGAGCTATTCCTATTCTACAATAAACCTTTCTCCTTTGTTAAAAAAGCAGCAACAAAAAAAACGAGTTCCTTGTCAAATGAATTGGTCACTAAATGAGGAATTATATATAGTATGTACATTACAATATTCAGTACAAAGACATAATCAAAGAAAACTCCAAACTGGTGACTTTGCTTTTATTTGCATAACTCTTACATGCAGTATTGTAATATATAACATAGCATAAAACTACAGTATTATATACAGTGCAATCAGCAAAAATTACAGCACCATATAAACAAGATAAAGTATACAAAGAAAGACATTGACGCTATATAAACAAGATTTATAGAACTGTACAAAAAAAAAAAAAAGATGGGTCATAAGTCCGAGCAGTGATTTAACAGTTGTTAAAGAGGTGATTAAACGAGCAGATCTGTAATGTAGAATAATTTGTAGTCTTTTTGGAAAGTATCATGCAATTATAGTACAATAAAGACTTCCTGAAAATGCTAACATACAATCTTTTTTTAGTGTGGTTTCCTTTATTTATTACTTTTTTGGTATCGGGGATTGAACTCGGGACCTTGCGCTTGCAAGGCAGGCAATGGAACCACTGAGCTAAATCCCCGGCCCTGGTTTCCTTTATTGTGCATACAATTCTATAGTTAAATTTAGCACAAGAAAGATAAACCATTTGGGATAAACTGTGGCTCACTCTGTTATTAATATGGAAATGTAAAAACCTGACAACAAAAATGGGGTCCAAAATTTTAGTCATATTATGGGAAAATAATGAAATAACTCCTACCCTATTAATTGGCAGTTCTGAAAGTGTGGAGGCCAATTGCCAATCGTGTTCAAGTTATTTGGGGGATGTATTTGAATGCTAATGCATGTCAAAGGATTTTGATAATAGTAGTGAAGTTCTTTAGGGGAAGAGAAAATCACTTTAGAAAGCATATTTTGGCTTTTGATTTTAATATCAGCTTGTAGAAGAATTCAATATGTATGGCCAAACTTTTTGATTATGACCTCTGAAAAGAGATCTAATTTACTTTGTGAGCAGCACTACATGGTTCTTGTCCCTTCTTTCCTGCTTGTAGGGAATTTAAAGTTTCTTGAAACAATGTACCATTGCAATATTCTCTGTTAAATTCTATTTCAGTTTTTAGAAAATGCCTTGACTCACTAATTTTATGACCTACTAATGGGTCGTAACTTGCACTTCGAAAAATACTGCAAGAATGAGAATATATTGCAAGGAACTTCACAAAAGAATTCCAGGTTACTCTAGAAGCATAAGAAAAACACAACTTTACCATGAGTGTATCCCACACCATTAATAATAGATAATAAGTGTTCTATCATTTATATCATTTGACTGCCTAGGATAGTCTTTTAAAGAGCACTTAAGCCCCGCGCCACGTCCGTGCACACACATACGGAGTTGTTTACTCACCCATAAACTCTCACCAGAAATATACAGAAGAAATTAGCAAAAACACTGATAGCCTGTGAGGAGAGCTGGGTATCTGTAGGCAGAGGAGGGATAAGATATTTTAAGTACAATGTACCCTTTCATTTTTATTCTTTTAAAATTTGAACCATGGAAACATGCTTATTCCAGTGATTAAACTCAAAAATAATAAATTCCACATCTACATTACTAGAGAAAATGGTGGGGGGCACCAATATGGATCAGGGTTTAGTAGTGAAGAGGGCTGTCATGAGTAGTGGTGCATTGCAGATGTGGGGAATGACAGCCTGCATGCTGTGTTTACCACCCTGATCCAGACCAGCTATGTTGACAGTGTTATAAAAGGATCCTCATTAAAAGGATTAATTTATGTTTCATGCTCTTGTTTTTGTTTTTGTTTTTGTTTTTGTTTTGAGACAGAGTCTCGCTGTGTAGTTCAGGCTGGCCTCGAACTCATGGCATTCCTCCTGCCTTAGCTTTCTGAGTGCTAGGATTACAGGTGTGTGTCACCACACTCAGCTCTATTTATTATGAAGGAATGGTAATATACTATATTCTAGAAAGTTTTTTTAATAGAACTTGTTTAATGTTTCATTGCTTAAAGTATTTTTAACTTCATACTTAGAAATAATTTCAATCTAATAAAAAAGTGTGTGAATAAGAAAAATACAAATAATGCACAGATTCGTTTTTATTAATATTTCATTTCCTGTCCTGCTTATGCATCTGATTTGTTTTTTCTGAACCATTTGAGATAAACTTATAAATATCACACTTCTTTCTTTTCTTTCTTTCTTTCTTTCTTTTTTTTGGTACCGGAGATTGAACTCAGGTCCTTGTGCCTGCAAGGCAGGCCACCAAACCATTGAGCTAAATCCCCGGCCTCGCACTTCTTTCTTTTTAACTATTTCAGAATATATGTTCTAAGGTTAGGGATGGTCTTTTACTTAACTACATACAGCAATCAGCTATTGGGAATGTATTATAAGTAACCTAGTTTGATATATTAACTGTTTCCCATTTTTGTCAGTTGACTCCAGAAATGTCCTTTGTAGTAGTTCATTCCCCTCTTTAGCATAGGCTCCAAAGTAGGGCTAGGTTTCACATTTATTTCTCATAGCCCTTTAGACTCCTTTGATTGGAAACATTCCTGTGATATTTGTTCAATTTTTTATAATATTAAAATTTTTTTCTTTTTTTTTTTTTTTTTCTACTGGGAATCAAACTTGGGTCCTTGCGCATGCGAGGCAGGCAGCAGAACCACTGAGCTAAATCCCCCGTCCTATAATATTAAAACTTTTCATGAATATAACTCCTTCATTTTAAAAAACTAGAACATTGGCCATTCTGATGTTTCTTTATGATTAGATTCATGTTACATATTATGAGCCAGAATACTACATAGGTGATATGACTTTCTTAGGGTATCATATCTGGAGGCACAGTATGTCCACCTCCCCAAATTAGTGTGCTAGAGTACTCGGTTGAATGTGTTTTCTAGTTTCTACTGTATAATATTTTCCTCTTGCAACTTAAAAATCCATTGGAAGAGATATTAAAACCATGCAAATGTACTGATACTCATCAGAATTCCCCCTAGATATAACATTCATGATTGTACTTGCTTGATCTAATTTTTACTGTTTTGGTTGTAAAATGGTGACTTTTCCAGTGCTAGCACTACCTTCTTATTTACTAGTTAACGTTCACCATTCTGCTGTAAGCAAGTTCTCTCTTCTTTCCCTTTTATTTGTTGTTAAATTCTTGCTTATTCCCTCAGTGGTTCATAATTTATTACTGGGGTCAGTGACCACTCTGAAATTGTATACAAAGTTCTGTGTTACTTGGGCATTTTCCTGGAGATAGTGTTCATAACTTTGGTCAGACTGTAAATATTATTTGACTCAGGTGTATTAATATATACTAGCTTTTTGAAGAGCTAAGACTTTAAGCTAGCTCTAATGTTTATATGTTTTGATATTTTCCCCCCTGCTTTCTTCTACAAGTGAAATGTTAGAACCATAGTGTATCCCCTTTGTTGTACATTACATTATTTTTGTCTGCTGTTTTAAAACTACAACTTAAAAAGGTATACTATTTTTGTTCTTTTAATTTTTTTGCTGGAATATAAATGTTAGTATCTTTATTGGCAGTGTAGCAGCAGTTTGTGGTGTATAGAACCAGTCTTGTGAAGCAACAAATTACCTTGATTTAATTTGAAAATGTAAAACCAATGTTTTTTACACTGTAGTTTTATTAGCTCTTTGGGAGTGAGCTACATGATGTTGTGCAGTGAAAGTTATCCAAATGTTCTCGCCTTCTCTTTCCTGGATGAGCTTCAGAAGGAGTTCATTACTACTTATAACATGATGAAGACAAATACTGCTGTCAGACCATACTGTTTCATTGAATTTGGTAAGGGCCTATTTTTTTTCTTTTTTACTATCTTGTCTCTATCCAGTTGTAAGTGATTTTTCACCTAATTTTAGGGGAATGGGGGAAACTTCTGCTATTTTGCTTTATATAGAATAATTTGGCAAATGATCTGTAAGTTATAGCAACTTCTTAATTTAGGTGTCTATTAGAAAAAAAAAATTGAGTTGTGAAGAGATTTGTGATTATTGGCCCAAATAATTAGTATCAGAGGACAAGAGATTCAGAGTTTTGTGTTTATGTGATAATCATTTATGGCTTGCTTAATGTAGCACACTAGTTGGCAAATATTTGCTGGAAAGGACCAGACAACATATTTTAGACTTTAAGGGCCATACAGTCTGCCACATCTACCCAGCTCTGCCATTGTCACTTGAAAGAAGCCACAGGCAATATATAAATGAATGAGCATAGTTATGGCCAAATAAAACTTTATTTATAAAAACAGCAGGCTATGTTTGGCCTGTGGGCAATCATTTGCTCAACTCTTGATGTAGAAGGAAGAAAAAAAACCAAGAAAACCCAAAGTTATAAACAGTAAAATAAAATGCCACTTGGAAGATGTTTAGGAACTATCATTTATTCTTTTTATTAAACTTATCCTTTAAAACATACATCCTAATGGTGTAAGCAGTAGATTAGAAAACAGATTTAGAAAACATAGTTTATTGTATATGCTCTTATGTAATTACAACTAGAAAATAATAAGTTCACTCTTTTATGAGACAAGAACTCCCATAAAAATTAAGAGTTTGGTTTAAAGTTAAGCTGTTTTTTGTTTCTGTGATTCCTTAAAGTGGATATAATACATTCAGGTAGTGTTTAACTTGTAGTTCAGTTATAGTTGCTAATTTCTAGAGTATAGAATGTGAAACTGATGACTCCATGATTATGCATAAACACAAATAATTTTAGAAATTCCATGGCAAATGAATAGTTTTAAATAATAAATTAAACTGTTTATCCATAAAATTTATTGTCCATAAACATCACACTCTCAAATGATTTAATTAACAAATGACTGCAGGAGATTTATTTTTTATTTTACATAGATAACTTCATTCAGAGGACCAAGCAACGGTATAATAATCCCAGGTCTCTTTCAACAAAGATAAATCTGTCTGACATGCAGATGGAAATCAAGCTGAGGCCCCCTTACCAAATTCCTATGTGTGAACTGGGGCCAGCCAATGGAGTAACATCTGCATTTTCTGTTGATTATAAAGGTGCTGGTAAGATTTCTTCTGGTGAGTGCTGGATCTCAATTACTTCATTACATTTTTTGCTTTTGTAAGAACTGAGGAACTCTTAAAAGTAAACTTTTATTGATATCTTAGATAAAAAACATGAGTAGAGGTTCAAAGCAATCCTTTCTCCCGGTTGTTTATAAACTCAGCTTCTAGATATGTGACTAATCAAGAAAATACGTTCTTTCTTTCTTTTTCTTTTTTCTTTTTTTCTGTTATCAGGGATCGAACTCAGGACCTTGCGCTTGCAAGGCAGGCACAGTGCCACTGAGCTAAATCCCAAGCCAGGAAAATTACTTTCAAATGGTAATCTCAGAGGTTCTCTTTACTAAGAAAACATTTACGGTATCTTTGTAAATACTTATATAGAAGTGAAAAATAGTTTTTTTGTAATATATATTTGTAGGCTTATGAAGTGTTTTGCATTATGTCAGACTGGCTGCATTCAAGCTCCAGAGTGCTTGAATGTCATAGAAAATGTAAAAACCTTAGTGATGGTCTACTGAAATCTCCCTTCCCAAAGAAGAACACCATCTAGTCATGACAGGATGACTTCTGCTTGTGGAAACCTCATCCAAGAATGGTGGTATATACCTGTATTCCTAGCCACTTAGGAGACTGAGGCAGGAAGATCTCAAATTAGAGGCCAGCCTGGGCAATTTAGTGAAATTCTGTCTTATAAATTATCTGTCTTACTAAATTTATTTAAAAAATAAAAAGGGCTTGGGATATAGCTCAGTGGTAGAGTGCCTCTGGGCTCAATCCTCAGTACTTCCTATCTCTCCAAAAAAGAAAATTCCATTGTTTTATGAAGTAGCATATGCCACTTTTAAAATACTTGTTAAAATTCTTCTTTATGTACTAAGCTAAAATTTGCTTCCCTGTAATTCCTACCAGTCTAATCTATTTTATTTAAATATCTCTAGTTCCCTTAGACTTTTTGTCAATGGCTTGAAGTCTTCATCATCGTAGTAACTTCATTTATATATTTATTAATTTGTTAGTCTTCTTTAACTGTAGACTGACTGTAACACTTCATGTTTGGTTTGAGGGAGAGGGGAAAACAAATTTCACTAAAATAATCTAGCCGGTCACTAAACAATAAGGGTAAGAGATAAAAAGGCATCTAGATTGTAAAGAAAGAAATGAAATCATTCTGTTTACATATTATGTAATCTCATATATAAAATCCTGAGGAATCTGTTTTAAAAAGACTTACAATAAATGAGTTGAAAGATTGCAGGATAAGGATAGAAGATCAATATACAAACAAAAAAAAATTAGCCATATTCTGTACACTAGCAGTGAACAATCTAAAAGTGAATTTAAGAAAATCTCATACAATGAAAACTATAAAACATCATTGGAAGAAATTAAAGATCTAAATTAATGGAAGGCAGTTTCACTTTCCTGGATTAGAAGATAATGTTAAGATAGCTGTTCTCAAATTGATATACACATTCAGCACAACCCCACCTGTTTTTTTTTTAATAGAAATTGACAAGATGGTCCTAAAATTCATATGGAAATTCAAGTGGTAGAGAATAGCCAAAATAATCTTGGAAAAGTACAAAGTTGAAGGACTCACACTTCGAAATTTACTACCAATCTACAGTAATGAAGCCTGAGTGATTCTGGCTTAAGGATAGACATGTATGTAGATCATTGGGATAGGTTTGAGAGTATAGAAGTAAACCTTTTCATTATGGTTTAACACTGATACAAGGACAATAGTGAAAGAATAATACTCTTCTGAATAAATGGTGTTGGGATAACTGGATACCCACATGCAAAAGAATTGAAGTTGGACTCCGCTTCTTACAACATATATAAAAATTAACTCAAAATAGAACAGAGTCCTAAATACAACAAATAGAACTATAAAACTCTTAGAAAAACAGACCTAAATCTTTATGACTTTGTTAGGTTTTTCAGATTTTTAGTGAAAGAAAAGATAAAGTAGACTTCATCAAAATTAAAATCTTACTCTTCAAACACCACAATCAAGAAAGTGAAAAAACAACCCACAGAATTACAAAAAAAAAAAAAAAACCTTCTAAAACATATATCTGATAAGGAGCCAAAATAAAATACATAAGTATCTTACAACTCAGCAATAAAAAATGTCTAGTTTATAAATGAGGAAAGGATTAAATAGACATCAACCCAGAAAATGTACAGCTAGATAATTATAAAAAGATGTTCAACATCAATAATCATTAGAGAAATACAAAACAAAACTATAAGGATACAGTATATCATTTCATATCCACCAGCAGGGCTAAAATAAGAGCCATTGGATCCATGAGTCCTAAGGGCCAATGAACAAAGTATCCTATAATGCAGTCTAGATCCTTGTGTTTCTCTGGGCCCTTTTTAACCATTGTCATTCAGTGAACACATGGAATGTTGCCTTTGAAATCTAGAGGCATATTAATCAGTGTATCTTTTCTTAGTGATATGGACTGTCAGGTGCTTTCTGATCTTTGACCATCAGAAACTGAAGGGGCAGGCTTTGTAAGTTTGGTTATTCCTGTTGTCTGGCATGCATGTATTTTCTCAAGGCATATAACCTAAGGCACATACTATATATTTCTCAGGTACTGTTAGCATGACATTGCCAATAATGTTCTGTGACTCTAGATATTTATAGCCAAGAGTCAATAAACTTTTTTTTTTTGTAAAAGAACTGGTAGTGAATATATTAGGTTTTGACACTATGTGGCCACTGTTGCAACTCTGTGTGTATAATGTACAAAGTATCTGTAGACAATAGTTAAAAAAGAATAGGTGGACTGAATTTGGCTTTGGGCCATTGCAAATTGCTGTAGACTAATCTCTGGTACAATATGTTAAATGTACTGATATCTGTCACATAAAAACAAAATGTTTCTGATTTCTACTGTTTCTTAGGATAGAGAAAAAAATTTAGGGCCGGGGATTTAGCTCAGTGGTTCCGCCTCCTGTCTCACAAGTGCAAGGGCTGGATTTCAATCCCTGGCACACCCCCCCAAAAAAAAGTTTACCATAATGATGTCAGGAAATGAAATGTTCTATACTGTGAGGAAACTGCATCTGGAAAAACATGCAGTTAGAACCCTTAGTAATCTGTCATCCTCCAAGACACACCCAGTTTGGAGACTTAGAGAGTTAATTGAAAATATAGTAGACATCACCACCTATGCATTTTGAAAGCCTTGGATAGTGGTACTGGTCTCTGCAGTCATCTTGGGGATTAGTATTTTGTTGATGTTTTGGTTGAAGGAGCCCAAGACTTCTGTTGGCCTGCTCTTCTTTAGTAGGTCTGGCAGCCAGTGTTGCTAAGGATATCCGTCCATTAATAAATACACTCTGGATTCAGAAGGATAACCTTAATTGGAGGTAAGAGTCCAACTTAACCTACCATGAGATGTACTTTGTTACAGATTGTTAATCAGTTAACTTCTATAAGTTTCTTTTCTTACCTTAGACCATCATGATACTCTGGATCATCCATAGACTTGGAAAATGGGGAGAATCTGGGATTTGTTGTACTTTTAAGAAAGAGTAAAAAGTAATTGACAACTAGAACTTATTTTAATATTAACTTTAAATTTGCCTTCAATTCAGACCAATCATACATAATATTTTCTATAGTTCCCAAGTAAAATACAGTTTTGAGAGGGAATTTCTTAAGTACATTATTCACTTTGTTTTGAAATAAGTTTAATGGATATTTGAGGAGCATTGCTTTTTAAGCTTCTTTGTCCTTATGATTAATTTTTTTTATTTCTTGACTTGTTTCTCTCTAAACTTTTGGCAATCCTCCTTGTCAGTCTGGCATAAATATTTTTATCGTGGCATACTTATTATTTACAGAAGTTTATGGAAGTTCATCATGTAGTCAATAACATATTAAATGATGTACTGTGTCCCACTTCTGCTTTTTTTGTTTTCTCTTTAAAATGTTTTATTATAGAGAATCTCAAATGTATACAAGGTACACAGAATAGTGTAATTTACTCTCATGTACCCATTATACAACTATAACAACACTTTGCCATTCTTTTTTCATCTGTACATCTCCACTATCTGCTTGATAATTTATGTATATAGTTCTTTTTAAAGGGGAATTTATAGTCTTTGTTATGCAAATATTGTTTTAAAATATGTTTCATCCTTATTCAGGTATGGTGAGGTCAATAGATCAGATGACTACCACAAAAAAGAGAATTTTTTTATGCTCATAGATCCCCAGGGAAAGGAAAGGGGAGAATATGGACAGAACCTCTATTGTGGTTTCTTGGGGAAGGAATGGATGAGATAAGATGAGGAGACTTGAGATTGGCTAGTTTGAATAATTTCAGTGGCTTTGAGGCATAGGGCTTTTGGAACTTAAGTGGCTCTGGGGAATTTCCAGTTGTGTGATGCTTGGTCATGTAATACAGGGAGGGCAATAGTGCTTGGTAGAGAAGGTGGTTGAGAGTGTGTGGTATGAACTGGTTGTTTGTGTGTAGAAGACTCAGTCACGCAAATTGCATTACCTAGCCCTGGAAGGGTCAGTTTGTCCAAGATGTCAAAGCATCAGAAATAGAGAATAAAATGTCATGATTACTATTGACTATTTTGACAATACAGAACATGTCCATTTCCTTAACAAATTCCTTTCTGTCCCCTCCCAATCTCCAGCTCTCTCTGGACATCCACTGTTTTGATTTTTATCACTTTAAATTCACATTGCTCTACTTCATCTAACAAGATAATATTCTGTGAGTCTTGTGTACATGGCTTTTCTTTTGCTTAGCATAATGTCATATATGTTGGATGTCTTAATAATGACTGAGTGGTATTTTATTGTATGGACATACTATAACTTGGTTGTTCATTCTCATGTTCATGGACTCTAGCTGGTTTCCAGTTTGTAGTTACTGTGCATAAAGCTATAGTGAACATTCATCTTTTTGTTGATATGTTTTCATTTACCTTCGATAAATACTAGGAGTGGAATTGCTAGGTCAAAA